AAAAAAAAAAAAAGTAACTGAAACCTTGAAAACTGCATTGGTTCCTTGGTTTACAATTTGGAAATACTTAGGTGAATTTTGAGGGGGAAAAGAACTTGTTCTTTACTGACTCTCCTTTTTAAATTTACAGCCAAAAAACGGGACATGTATGACAGATACGGCAAAGAAGGGTTAAATGGCGGAGGTACGTAAATGTGGGCTTTCTCTTGGCAGTGAGCAAGGGGGCCCGTTGGGCCGCGGGAGGTCTCGACAGGGGCTGCACTTGTCAGTTTTCTTGGACCGGGGCGTGTCTCAGAAACAGGTGCAGCCTGGAAAGGGGCTGGATTGGGAGGGGAAGGTGAGGTGGCCCACCTTGAGCGCGTCACGTTAGACGACGACGGTGTGCGTGGGTGCACTGTCGGTAGATGCGGAGCCCACTACGCCCCTGCTCTGACACGCCGGGAGCTCGTGCTCCCAGAGCAGCACCTCAGCCTGGCTCAGAGTATCCACAGGGCTCAGAGAACAGACGGTGCCCACACACCTGAGTGGCCCCACATGGGTATGTGAGCTTGACGAGAAGGCCCCATGACCGCCCGCCGCCTGCTCAGCCCCTTGGCGGGCGCTGGGATATCACTGCTGCAGCCTAGGCACAGACCCGACCCGGTGACCAGCGCCAGCGAATGTTTCCTCGCTTGGTGTACACGATCCTTCACGACAGAAAATGGTTTCCTGTGTGTGGATGGTTGGTGTAGCGATGGCGAGCGAGTGCTGGGGACCACGCCGCTGGGACCCTCAGGAGTGCGAAGCCCGCGCTGGAGTCGCCCCACCAGCCACGGGCTGCGAAACAGAGCCATGGCTGTATGAGCCGTTTTCTTTTTTATTTAGGTCCTGATATATAGGATGTTCTGTAGATAAGTCATTGCCTCCTAAACGCAAGAATTCAAAAACTAAAAGCTCTATTGTATTACATAGGTGGAATTCATTTTGACCCTCGGTATGAGTTTGGCTTCACATTCCGTAACCCAGATGAAGTCTTCAGGGAATTTTTTGGTGGAAGGGACCCGTTTTCATTCGACTTCTTCGGTAAGTTCATTGTTCTGTTGGCATGACCATGACTCTGCTGAGAATAGGCATCCTTTTCTGTTCCATCACCATGGCACCCTGTTGTTTGGCTTTGTTTAAGCAGCGTAGGGGTTCTAAAGTCAGTTTTCTTCCTCTCTGGCAGCGGTTTCTGAGTGGACGCTGTGCACATGAAAATAATAAAGGTTTGAACGTATTCGTTGTCTTTATTACGTATGGCCCTAATTAATATCGTTTCTTCCTCTCAGTGGTAAGGATGCAGGTGCTGGGGGCTTGCGGGTGCTGCTGGCTTTTGAGCATGGAGTTCTATGTGAATTTTCCCCGAATTGTTCTGGGTACACACTGGGCATTGTAGCAGATCTTGTTCAGAGGACATTGGCTCTATAAACCTGTGCCTGTTTCTCTAACTGGGGGCATTGTGACTGTTGAGTTCACAGTGGGTGAAAAGAAAGGACATCTCTAGAGCAAGGCAGTGCTGATACTCATGGCTGAGAGTAGTTTTTACTAAAGGAGACCGTTCCAGCTGCTGTGTTCCGCAGAATGGATTTTCCCATCAGCTGCACCTTAGCCCTGACGCCTGGGGCCAGGTGTTCCTGTGTGTCACCGACACAGGTGGGGTGGGGAGTGGGTGTGTGTCGCCTGCTGAGAGGCTCTTTTGCTGCGGCTGCAGAGCTGCCCCGGGTGCTGGGAAACTCGGGGGCCGCAGCCATTTCTGTGTTGGCTCACTGTGGGGTCCCCAGCCTTTGCTTCCATCCTTTGTGGCCTGGAGCCTCGTCGGAGAGCCCGACCACCACCTGCTCCCCTCCACGGGGGGACCAGAAGAGATATTCTGTCTCCACATAACGGAGGAGAAACCAATGGACCCTTGCCCATCCTAGGCATGAAGAAAAGTAACTCGCTGCCATGTCTGGTAGGTATTGGGGCCTTTTAAATGGTGTGGCCCTTTAGTTTATTTCAGATGGAGATTCAGAGAGATTTTCCTTATTTTTTTACTATGGTATGGCTTGACTTGAAGAGAGTAGCTGATGGAGGGTGGTGGGTAGTAGTACAGTATATATCAGCATAGATTAGCTTTTTCATCCACAGTTGTTATAGTGAGACTAAGTTAGGGGTGAAGAGGAGATTGGTCTTTCAAAGACTTTAGCTTTAGTAATGCTATCATAAGCAGAGTATGGATCAGGAAGGCTTCCCGGTAATATGTAAGATACGTATGTTCGTTCTTTATTAATTGGCTTTTGTGTATGTAACAGATCTCACCATAAGAAAATACAAAGAATTTCATGGTCTTCCCTGTGTTAAAATTTAGTTTTGTGTCTCATTACAACCTTTAGCGAACTGCACATGGGTTGTTCTGGGGGAGCAGGGCAGTGTTGGGTGAATCATCCTGGTGGCCAAGTGAGGATCTTCTGCCACCGAGGGTTTCGGTTCTGGCGCACATCACGGGGTGCGGGGGGTTGGTGGTGGTAAAGCAGGCTGACCTCTAAGCCTGAGGCCCAGCATGCTTTCTATCTTCATGATTTGTCTTGGGGAAGAGTCCGTTAGTGATTGAATTGTAGTCAGATTTTGTTTTCCCTGGGAAAATAGTTGGACAGGCCAAGCTTCCCCAATAGGAATGATTTTCACTGAGCAGTTCTTTCTAGAGTGAAGAAGGTGTAGAGATTATAATGGGGTGTAAATGAGAAAGTGATTACAGTTTTTTACCCACTATAAGCTATTTAAACCTCTTGACTTTCATATCGTAAATTGTGAGATATGTGTATATACAGAAGTCTTTATGTACACGTGTAGTTCACTGACGTTGTGGACATGAGGCACATTTTGGTGGCAATTTCTTCTTTTGGACTGTTTAAGAGATAACTAGTCTACAGTAATTCTAGACTCTGGGCCCTCGGTTTTAGATGCTGAGATGCTCAGGTTTTAAGAATAAGCATTTCCTTTATGTTTCCCATGATTGGTGTGGCAGTGATATTTATTCAATCCATTCTTGTAGGTGTTCTAGGTGACTTCCATTTTCAGGCTGTAAGGATTTACACACAGGAAAAGAAGCTTCTCTGCGGCTACTACATGTATGAAGTAATGGTACAGCCTGCTGGGGGTACGTGTAGTCTGGATCTTCATGCAGGGCTGGGGCTTTCTAATCTGGCAGTCGTTTCGTTGATGGTAACCAGCATCTGCATCCTTCTTACTCAGCCCTGTTGTGATGTCCATTTGTAGTAGCACATAATTTTTAGTCTAAATTTTTCACACTTTTTTTTGCCTCCTCTCCTGTTATACCTTCTAAGAAAAGTAGGTCAGAAATCTAAGACATTCTGAACTGCACTTTGCGAGTATCAGAATATAAAATTCCATGTCTGACTCCCAAAACGAAAGGGGACAAAACTTCAAAGAGCTAGTGAGCGAGCCACTGGGAAGGATTGAGGTGTGAAGGGTGTTGGACTGTATGCAGATCTATGCCCCAGGACCCATCAGTGAGGATTATCAGGTGGTGGTAGAGCGCTTGGGCCTGGGGCCTTGCTGATGCTGAAGCCCTGTGACCACAAACCTCCCCCCCCCCCCCCCCCCCCCGCCAGCAGTCACATGGATTCCAGAACCTGCTCAGAACCCTGGTCCTGAAGTCAAGGGTGCAAGTCATACTTTTGCAGGCACCTGATTTTGTTTAAATCCTTTCCCAAATACTGAGCATGCCAAAATGACAAACGTGAATTGGAAGGGATTGCACTAATTTGAGTTAGGGTGATCTGTTCATTGTTGACTTTTACAGGACACCATTACTCAGCATTCTAAGATGGACAAGTAACTAATACTAGTATCTTGTAGTCGCTAGAGGCCCAGCAGGGATAGCGTTTGGAAGAATTGTCTGGGTATAACTTAACATTTTTATTTACTTCTCATGTTAGAAAGTAAGAGCCAAACTTGAAAACCTACTCAGTTCAGCCCGTTTTCCCTTCAGGATGGCATCAGTCCTGTAAGGCTTGTCTATGAAAGACGTGCCGTGGTGGTGGACAACAGATTCGGCCTGTCCGCTCAGGGAAATCGGGCTTTTGGAGGGAAGTGGAGTGTTGTTGAGGAGGGTAATAGCTAACTGTTGAACCAGATCTAAGTTTAATGTAGTGAGCCCATCATTTTGCTCTCCCAGGGTTCGAGGAGGTGGCGAGTGAGGAGTTGGAGCCCGGGTTTGAGGACTCGGCAGAAGACGGCCAGAGTGAAGAGAACAGCGGGGTTTTGGATGTGATATCTAGCGAGGAGCTTGATGTCTATAGTGAAGATGAGCCGAGCGAAGGCTGTAGCCGGGGCCAGGGCGAGGTTCTGAGTGAGGAGCTGGAGTTTGTGTCCAGTGAGGATGAGACGAGTCCGGGGGAGGTGGAGGAGCTCAGCGAGGAGTGCGAGGAGCTGCTGAGTGAGGACAGCGGCCCTGAGCTGGAGGGGCTGCCCGTAAGGCGGTGAGCCGGGGCTAGCCGACGGGAAGCGCGTCCAGAATAAAATGTTTGTGCCTTACTGACTAAGTGCCTGAGACAGTCCTTGCTCAGACAGCCCAGCCGACCTGGCGGGAGCGGAGGAGACCAGGGGTGGAACCCCAGGAGGAGAGGCGGGGTAGCTCCTGCAGGCTGGCGGGCACGCAGAGGTAGAAACCGCCGCTTTCAGGCCCACTGGGTGTCCTGGGGGGGGGGGCCCGCAACGGCTCCACAGGCCTGGGGGCTGACAGCAGGAACTGATGCCTCTCGGTCCTGGAACCCGGTTCTGGGAGGGAACAGCTCTTCCAGGCCTCTGCTGGGCTGGCGGTCTCAGGTGGTCCTTGTGTGTCTGCATGTCGTGCTGCCTCTGCTCGTCCCTTGTCCAGATTTTCCCTCATAGAGACACTACTGCTCCTGGATTCAGACCCACCTTACCGAGCTCCTCTTAACTCCGTCCTCAGCAAAGAGTCTGTTTCCTTCCAAATGAGGTCACACTCGGGCCTGGGGCTTCGGGATTCCACATCATTTCGGAGGGCCACAGTCCATCCTGTAAAGTCGTTTTCCCTAAAGAGTTGTCTGCCCACTTGAGAAGCAGCCCGTTTTGGACGGAGAAAGAAGGGGAAGCCTTGAAGGTGAGGTGTGCCATAAGAAACCCGAAGTCGGAGTTTGGAGGCACGGGTGCCCTCCCGAATTCCTTAGGGCATCCCTGTACACGCATAAGTTGAAAGAAGGCAGGGAATAAGACTTAAAAATCCACATAGATACGGAGCGTGTTAGACCGGTTTCCAGCCGTAGTAGCTAAAGATGGTCTTCATGCAACTTGTACAGCGACCACAGAGCCCGTGGTCCTGAATGAGTTGGGGGGGGCAGTATTGCTGCCCCTCTGGCTTCTCCACTTGTTCATCTTGGAGGAGGCTTAGTGCCCTGGTAAGATTTTCTTGGAGAACATAACAAAATGTATCGTTCTGTGCTCATTTGAGAACTCTTGTTCTTGGAGGGTGGAAATAGTCCCATTTTCATTTGAAGGTAGGCTGGCGAGTGGGTAGCTGCCATGCTGGTGACGCCAGCTTTTCGGTTCTTGAGTTTGTGCCTGCGAGTGATTCAGACTGGTTCCTGTCAGTCCGGTCCCTCAGCTGCACCCCCAGCAGGGAGAGGAAATGGCTGGTTCCTGGAGAAGGTGGTTCTGAGAACTGTTTCTGGGCCAGGAGAACAGCAGTGCTGGCCAACCCACCGCAGATGGGGCACCCCGTAGTGAGGGTCTGCATGCCGGGTCTGAATCACCCAGACAGCCAGGGCCCTCTGTGTGCAGTTTCAGTTTTCCAGGTGAAGCCAGTGCCTTGACTTCTGTTGGTTCTGTTGGTTCTTAAACTTCTAGTGTAGTTGTGGGCCTTGCTTGGGTCAGTTTCCAGAGTCTCTTGTAGTTTTGGCTCCTCATGTCTTCCACGTGGAATTTTGGACTCTGTAGTGTAGTTGAGGGGACCACTTCCTTCCTGGGAATCTGGGGAAGATGTTCTGTGGCCGCAGCTGTGGGAGAGTGTAGGGAAGTTGAAC